TCTGAACAGAACAACGACACATAAACGACATGTTTATGCTGCTTCACTAAAGTCAAAGATGGGCCAGATCGCCTCCATAGTTAAAGCACAAATACATGTGCACATATAAAACATATGGTTGGCCTAAAAGTAACATTAATATGACATTTGTGACACTGCTGTCGAACTACTACATGTCACATGTTAAAATGACTCATCAGCACCACAAAAACGTTGCTCAGCATTATCAGCACTGGACTTTTACCTAATCCCCCCCCAAACAAAAACAATGGTCCCACGTGGGAGATGAACCCTGGTCTCCTGTGAGGAACCACACAAAGCAATGATTGTTTGAGATCAGTTTGCGACCCTCTCCTCTAACGGTCGGGGGGTTAATCACGGCCACGTTACCTTCTCCTGCAGCCTTTCCAGCATGGCTGCCAGCAGAGCCTCCCTGTTCTCCTTGTTGGCCTCCATCCTCTGCTCCAGCTTCTCCTTGGCGTTCTTGATGAAGTTGTTGTTCTCCTCAAAAGCTTTCTGGATCACCTCGCGCTCGTGCTCTCTCTTCTCCGCCAGGTGCTTCAGCAGCTCCGCCTCCTGGCACTGCAGGGAGATGGAGAAGTGAAGGCAGCTGCTCATCCTTTACACAACACTCAGACTGCAGGTGATAAGCAGGGTGTTTGCAGCTTTCACCTATTTCAACAAAGTTCAAACATATTTGAAGGCTGCAGACACAAACTGAGACGTGTGCGGTTGTCAGCACCTGTAATCTTTGTCCTCAGGTGAGCCAAACCTCATAACTAATACATCAGATCACTGTGAGCCAGTGAATCCAAAGACATTGGAATTGCCTTGTTTCCATCTCTAACAATCTGTTCACTCTCCTCACCTTTCCCCTGTTTGTCGCTCCCTCCTCCTCTCTGATGGATGAATATGAATCATTGTGTCCTCACACGATGGTCCCTGCTCTTTCATCTGCCTCTTTTCATCTCCCCCAGCTCAGTTCCTTCTTTCTCTCCGTTCACTCCAATATTCCCTCCCACTTCCCCTTCATTCATTTTAAGCCTATTTCCGTCTCTCCGATAAATCACACAAAGAGTGCTAACAGATGTTTAACAATGGCTGAACGAGCCACAAACAGCAGATGTTTTCTGTTCAGATGACGCTCCCTCACCTTTCGCCTCTCTTCAGCCGCCTCTAGCTTCTTCTGGATCTCCTCCAGGGATGGGTCGCGGCGCTGCGGCATGGAGGCATTGAGTTCAGGCAAGCCGTCAAAAGACGGGGGCTTGAGGATGACCTCAAAGGCCTGGCCCGATGCACGCTTGTTCAGCTCGATGACTTCTACGTCTTTGATGACGCACCAGGCCAAGTCCACTGCATCTGTGTTGGTGGAAGCAGCATTTACTGTCAGA